CTATTACAGATGCCAGGTTTTGGGATGTCTTCTTCAGGATTTATACAGTTCTGAAAATGGTTCTGAAACCCACATATTTACAGTTGCAAGAAAAAGTATGTGAACCCCTTGGGATTTCGTGGAGTTTTGCATGAATCATCCTTCGAAACGCCTCAGCTTCAACCTCAGAGTCTCCCCTCCTCTTGATGGGACCCGCCCGTGTCTGCCATCCCAGTGCGCTGATGTTGGATTTTCTATGCTTTTAATATTGCTACTTTTGGGAGTATATATCTCAATTTAATAAATTCCCCCTTTACTCACTGAGGTAATGCGCAAGGTTGGTGCGCTTCTGTTTTTGTTCTTTGTTACAGCTGATCTCTGTACATTGCGGGGATTTTATTGAACTTTGTAGCTCTGTGTGAGGTCCCGATCATGTGATCACTGATTGGCCAATCAGTGATCACATGCAAAGTAGTAAGTAAGATGTCACATCTGACATCATTGCTTACTACGTGTGAAATCTGTGAATGAACACAGAGATCACATGGTACAGGGCCATTCACTACAGCCTTGTACCATGTGACAGGTCGTGACCAATCACAGCTCTCACAGTATTTCTCAATGGCTGCAGGAATGCAGCCAGAAAGAAGGAGAAATGATTCCTCTTACAGCTTTTATGGGTGTAAAAGCAATCAGTGTAAAAAAAAAAATCTTCATCACCCCCCACAAGTAGTACAGTATCATCATGGTGACACTACTGCTAGGGTGACAGTATGTTAAAAAACCCCCAAAAACATAAATAATAATACAAAAAAAGGTAAACTTTGTTTTGAATTATAATTTTTGGTTATAAACTAATTTGGATTATTTTTTTTTTCCACTAAAAAAATAACCAAATAAATTATGGCCAAGAGTTATGAAGAAAGATTATTTATCTGCAAAATTTTGTAAGAAAAACACTTTTTTCCAAAATTTCAGGACTTTTTCATTTATATAGCAATGAATAGTGGTGAATAAATACCACCAAAAAAAGTTTTATCTGTCTAAAAAACATGCTAAAAAATTCAGCTGGGTACAGTGTTGCATGACCGCGCAATTGTCATTCAAAGTGTGACAGCGCCAAAGGCTGAAAATTGTCCTGAACAGGAGGGGGGGGGGGGGGGGGGGGGGGGGGGGGGTGGTGTGGGGGGGGTGTCCGGACTGGAAGGAGGTTAACAACATTCAATTACAACATGGATTGTGTAGCATTTTTTGTTTGTTTCAGTTTTCTGTTTTGTTACCTGATAAACCAATCAAAAGGATCACTTATAATTCAAACTTTCTGCATTTATACATATTATATATATATTGACCCCAAAAAGACAAAATCGAGACAAGAGGAAGGAAAGATCATTCATTTTAAGGGACAAAAGAAAGAATTCAGAGCATTTGTGTCAGAGGGAGGGGATGAAACACAGTGAGGGATACAGAGGGAGGGGAAGGAACACAGTGAGGGATACAGAGGGAGGGGAAGGAACACAGTGAGGGATACAGAGGGAGGGGAAAGGAACACAGTGAGGGGTAGAGAGGGAGGGGAAGGAACACAGTGAGGGGTAGAGAGGGAGGGGAAGGAACACACAGTGAGGAGTACAGAGGGAGGGGATGGAACACAGTGAGGAGTACAGAGGGAGGGGATGGAACACAGTGAGGGATACAGAGGGAGGGGATGGAACACACGAAGGGGTACAGGGGGAGGGGATGCAAAACAGCGAGGGATACAGGGGGAGGGGATGGAACACAGCAAGGGATACAGTAGGAGGGGATGGAACACGGTGAGGGGTACAAAGGGAGGGGATGGAACACAGCAAGGGGTACAGGGGAGGGGATGGAACACACCGAGGGATACAGGGGGAGGGGAAGGAACACAGTGAGGCATCTAGGGGGAGGGGATGATGGAATACAGTGAGGGATACAGAGGGAGGTGAAGGAACACAGTGAGGGTTACAGGGGGAGGGAATGGAACACAGTGAGGGATACAGAGGAAGGGGAAAGAAAACAGTGAGGGATACAGAGGGAGGGGAAGGAACACAGTGAGGGATACAGAGGAAAGGGAAGGAACACAGTGAGGGGTACAGAGGGAGGGGATGGAACACAGTGAGGGATACAGAGGGAGGGGATGGTACACAGTGAGGGGTAGAGAGGGAGGGGATGGAACACAGTGAGGGGTACAGAGGGAGGTGAAGGAACACAGTGAGGGATACAGAGGGAGGTGAAAGAACACAGCGAGGGATACAGGGGGAGGTGAAGGAAAACAGCAAGGAGTACAGAGGGAGGGGATGGAACACAGCAAAGGATACAGTCGGAGGGGATGGAACACAGTGAGGGATACAGAGGGAGGGGAAGGAACACAGTGAGGGATACAGAGGGAGGGGAAGGAACACAGTGAGGGGTACAGAGGAAGGGGATGGAACACAGTGAGGGATACAGAGGGAGGTGAAGGAACACAGTGAGGGATACAGAGGGAGTCAGGCGTCACCATACTTGGCCTCATACACTCGGCTGCTGGGTGCAGATCCAGCCACGTGGAAATAGACCCCGCCCCTCAATGAACCCCCATAAAGAGTACCTGTAACCTACCCACAGCTATCACATTGGGGGGGGAGGGGGGTTGGTAACTTCCCTGTCATAGCGATAAAGTTAAATAAAAAAAAAAGTTACAAAAAAATAGTTATGATAAAACTTATTTAAAAAAAAAACTTTCCCCCGCTGCCCCGCACACAGCGAGAAATGCAAACACACGCACAGTGTGCGCATGAGTATGCAAACCGCAATGTCATCAGCCAATGAGGGATCGCCCTTCATCCGGATCCACGGTGGGTGCTGGGTGAGAATGGTGAGAACTTTCTTTTTCTATGGTGGAACTGGACGGACTTTTGTCTTTTTTTCAGCCAAACTAACTATGGAGCTATGTAACTTTGTAACTGTTTAGCTTTGTAACTTTGTAACTGTGTAACTGTTTAACTTTGTAACTGTGTAACGTTGTAACTTTGTAACTGTTTAACTTTGTAACTGTTTAACTTTGTAACTGTGTAACTTTGTAACTGTGTAACTTTTTTAACTTTGTAACTTTTTAACTGTTTAACTTTTTAACTTTTTAACTTTGTAACTGTTTAACTTTGTAACTGTTTAACTTTGTAACTGTGTAACTTTTTAACTTTGTAAACTTTTTAACTGTTTAACTTTTTAACTTTGTAACTTTGTAACTGTTTAACTTTGTAACTTTGTAACTGTTTAACTTTGTAACTTTGTAACTGTGTAACTTTTTAACTGTTTAATTTTGTAACTTTGTAACTGTTTAATTTTGTAACTTTGTAACTTTATAACTGTGTCACTTTGTAATGTTTAACTTTGTAACTGTTTAACTTTGTAACTGTTTAATTTTGTAACTTTGTAACTTTATAACTGTGTAACTTTGTAATGTTTAATTTTGTAACTGTTTAACTTTGTAACTGTTTAACTTTGTAAACTGTTTAACTTTGTAACTGTATAATTTTGTAACTTTGAAACTGTGTAACTTTGTTACTTTATAACTTTGTAACTTTATAACTTTGTAACTGTGTAACTTTGTAACTGTTTAACTTTGTAACTGTGTAACTTTTTAACTGTTTAACTTTGTAACTTTGTAACTGTTTAATTTTGTAACTTTGTAACTTTATAACTTTGTAATGTTTAATTTTGTAACTTTGTAACTGTTTAACTTTGTAACTGTTTAACTTTGTAACTTTGAAACTGTGTAACTTTGTAACTTTATAACTTTGTAACTGTTTAACTACGTAACTTTATAACTGTGTAACTTTGTAACTGTATAATTTTATAACTTTGTAACTTTATAACTGTGTAACTTTGTAATGTTTAATTTTGTAACTTTGTAACTTTATAACTGTGTAACTTTGTAATGTTTAATTTTGTAACTTTGTAACTGTGTAAACTTTGTAACTGTTTAAGTTTGTAACTGTATAATTTTGTAACTTTGTAACTGTTTAACTTTGAAACTGTATAACTTTATAAACTGTGTAATTTTGTAACTATGTATTTGTTGGCACCACAAAGTGGGCCCTCTCCCACCACCAGGCCTCATAGCGGTCGCCTCAGCTGGCTACAGTTATTTCATTGACTTGAAGCAATTTGTTATATCTGAGTGATAAGTGCAAAAAACAAATACTTGTTTTATCTATTCAGAAAAAACTTAACAAAGAGAAAAAAACATAAAAAAAAACAAAAAACACAAAAAAAATACCCCCAAAAAAATAAAAAAAAAAAACTCCATAAAAAACAAACAAACAACTCTCCACCCCCCAAAAAAGGGCAGACGGACCAGTTGGTCTTTTTCTGCCGCAACTTTTCTATGTTTCTTATCCCGCCAGGAATCGTGTGAGCCGATAACTTCCTGTGCTGACTGTTCCCAGGTATCTCCATGGACTACAGAGCATCTCCTTTTTTATTTTATGAAAAAGAGGAAGGGGGGAGGTTATTGTATTCTGTCCTGGGGTGACAACACTGCTCTATAGATAAAGTGCAGTGAGTGAGCGTTGTCACCCTGGGAGGTGCATTACTGGCAGGATCACCGGATACAAATAATGGGGGAAAAAAAGCCTGAAATAAAAAAACTAAAGCAGACGCCACCCTCTGAATCCTGATAAACGGCAATATTTGACATTTTTATTCCTGGATTTAGATGGACTTCATTTGCGCTCACACTGCACTGGACCCAATAGGCTCTCTGTGCCCGTGCGTATGAGGAGCGCCCTCGGCAGACTTCACCAGACGCCCCTTCTTGGGGCCGTGCCACACCAGGTATATACAGACAGACTGACCATTCATCCAGCACTGTGACCCTAATAGGGCATATTATTCACAGTCAGTAAGATTGGGGGAGGGGTGAGGGCGGGTGAGGGTCGTACCGTGAGTCGGCGTCTTTTCTCTTCTGCGCACCCCAGTCGATCTACCTCTGTCATACTCTGAGCCCACGTCATGTCCCTCACCTTCAATCAGCGTGTAATATTTGCCGCTCTCGTGTTCCAGGAAGTAGCTGGGTGACTCCGAACCCTTCATCCCCATCTTGGTGACACCATACTTGTTGATGTCGTCGCAGGACACCATGCCGATGTCGTCTCTGTGCAGACGAAGGACAAGAGCGTGAGGACGAGTCCCGACAGACACTCCATGCAGACAAACGTCTACTGCCAGAGATGGTCTACATGACAAAGGATAGGCATCTCTGTCCATCCATTCCCCAGATATACACAGCTCTGCCACACAGCACAGCCCTGAGTTTACTCTAATGCAGTTTCACTTTTACTTACAGGTCTCCTCCCCCCCGCGACTGGACAGTTAAAGCAGAAGCAGCACAGTGGTCAGCTCATCCCTCTATCTTTCTGCTCTCTCCCCTTACCAGCATGCTTCCTGCACAGCAACACACCTGATTGGCCTCTTCTCCTTCCCCGCAGGGTGTTTACTATGCTTCATTTTGTGAGTGATCCTCTGCACAGAGCACGTCCTGCTCATTCACTCTGCAGTGCAGCTGAGGAATCCGTGCCCTCAATCTCCTTCTCTGTATCAAAAGTGGGACATCGGGGGGTCTGTGTAGACCCCGATATCTGACATTTCACAAAGGCTCCCCCCCTTAACATAACAAAAAAAAAAATAAAATGCTAATAAGAAAATAATTGAGGGCTCATACCTGCCCCCCCGACCTCACCCCCCCCCAAAAAAAAAACCCTATCTCTGCTGACCTCAAAACCCTCAAACCTTAAATCCCCCAGCACAAATCACCCCAAATCACCCCTCCTAGCACATCACCCCCAGCACAAATCCCCCCAAATCACCCCTCCTAGCACATCACCCCCCAAATCACTCATAGCACTTCACCCCCCAGCACAAATCCCCCCAAATAACCCCTCCTAATGCATCACCCCCAGCAAAAAATCCCCCCACAATCCCCCCTCCTACCACATCACCCCCAACACAAATCCCCCCCAAATAACCCCTCCTAGCATATTACCCCCAGCACAAATCCCCCCAAATAACCCCTCCTAGCATATCACCCCCAGCACAAATCCCCCCAAATAACCCCTCCTAGCATATCACCCCCAGCAGAAATGCCCCAAATCCCCCCTCCTAGCACATCACCCCCAGCACAAATCACCCCAAATCACCCCTCCTAGCACATCACCCCCAGCACAAATCCCCCCAAATCACCCCTCCTAGCACATCACCCCCCAAATCACTCCTCCTAGCACTTCACCCCCCAGCACAAATCCCCCCAAATAACCCCTCCTAATGCATCACCCCCAGCAAAAATCCCCCCTCCTACCACATCACCCCCAACACAAATCCCCCCAAATAACCCCTCCTAGCATATCACCCCCAGCACAAATCCCCCCAAATAACCCCTCCTAGCATATCACCCCCAGCAGAAATGCCCCCAAATCCCCCCTCCTACCACATCACCCCCAACACAAATCCCCCCAAATAACCCCTCCTACCACATCACCCCCCAAATCACCCCTCCTAGCACTTCACCCTCCAGCACAAATCCCCCCAACTACCACATCACCCCCAACACAAATCCCCCCAAGTCACCCTCCTAGCACATTACCCCCCAGCACATATCCGCCAAAATCAGCCCTCCTAGCACATCACCCCCAGCACTCCCCCCCTCCAAACTGTGCCTCTTAAAATTAATCATATGCCACTGCCTCCCCAAAATTTCCTCCTCTCAGTACAAATCCTCTCCCCCCATTCCCCCTCCTAGCACATCCCCCCCAAGCACCCCCATAACACTTATCCTCTTCCCCCTCCTAGCACATCCCCCCCAAGCACCCCCTATAACACTTATCCTCTTCCCCCTCCCCCTTCTCCTTCCTAGCACATCCCCCCCAAGCGCCCCCATAACACTTATCCTCTTCCCCCTCCCCCTCTCATCCCCAGCAGAAATGGTAGTTACTCTGAAGCTGCCGTCACTATTCCTGCCAACCTGTAGTAGGGACTCCCCATGCCATGCCCCCCCACCTCACATGATACCACAGTGCCCGGGGCAGCCGCCCCTCCTGCCCACCCCTGGTCTGTAGATGCTGCAAGTGATAACAAATTGCTTACCTTGGGCCATAAAGTCCGGACACAGGGGACAGAATGAAGACGTCATGTAGGGTGGAGCTGTCCACCTTGGATGGCATTCCCATTGTTCCTGTGGGTGTTGTGTTACCACTTGTGGGACTGGTTGGGATCACAGGCTGAAGAACAACAAACAAATGTGTATACATGTAATTATATACTGTATGTACACGGGACAAACATATTACATACAGAGCATGCTCCCTATATAGTAGAGCTGTGTAGTGACTGCACCTCACTAATCCTCCCCTTCACTGTCAGTGTGCTCATACCGACTGAACACAAGAGACCCTCTACGAAGACGGGGAATTGGCCAGGTAAGTAATACATTCTTGGGTCCTCAGGGGCAGGGCTGATTCTGACCACTTGGATGATCTTGGCCACACCCATATGGCACTTCCAAACATAATTTTACTATTAACCTCACTGATATCTTGTGACGCTCTTATAGCTTCTGTTCATCACCTCAGAAAGAGTCATATATTTCATGTCATGCATGGGCGTAGGAGCAAAGTAGCAAAGGAAAGTCAGGTCTATGGCAGGGGGAGAAAGGGTGGGTCTATAGATCGAGGATGAAAGGGTGGGTCTATAGATCGAGGATGAAAGGGTGGGTCTATAGATCGAGGATGAAAGGTGGGTCCTATAGATCGAGGATGAAAGGGTGGGCCTATAGATCGAGGATGAAAGGGTGGGTCTATAGATCGAGGATGAAAGGGTGGGTCTATAGATCGAGGATGAAAGGCTGGGTCTGTAGATCGAGGATGAAAGGGTGGGTCTATAGATCGAGGATGAAAGGGTGGGTCTATAGATCGAGGATGAAAGGGTGGGTCTATAGATCGAGGATGAAAGGCTGGGTCTGTAGATCGAGGATGAAAGGGTGGGTCTATAGATCGAGGATGAAAGGGTGGGTCTATAGATCAAGGATGAAAGGGTGGGTCTATAGATCGAGGATGAAAGGGTGTGGCCTATAGATCGAGGATGAAAGGGTGGGTCTATAGATCGAGGATGAAAGGGTGGGTCTATAGATCGAGGATGAAAGGGTGGGTCTATAGATCGAGGATGAAAGGGTGGGTCTATAGATCGAGGATGAAAGGGTGGGTCTATAGATTGAGGATAAAGGCTGGGTCTATAGATCGAGGATGAAAGGGTGGGTCTATAGATCGAGGATGAAAGGGTGGGTCTATAGATCGAGGATAAAGGGTGGGTCTATAGATCAAGGATGAAAGGGTGGTCTATAGATCAAGGATGAAAGGGTGGGTCTGTAGATCGAGGAGGAAAGGGTGGGTCTATAGATCGAGGATGAAAGGCTGGGTCTGTAGATCGAGGATGAAAGGGTGGGTCTATAGATCGAGGATGAAAGGGTGGGTCTATAGATCGAGGATGAAAGGGTGGGTCTATAGATCGAGGATGAAATGGTGGGTCTATAGGTCGAGGATGAAAGGGTGGGTCTATAGATCGAGGATGAAAGGGTGGGTCTATAGATCGAGGATGAAAGGGTGGGTCTATAGATCGAGGATGAAAGGGTGGGTCTATAGATTGAGGATAAAGGCTGGGTCTATAGATCGAGGATGAAAGGGTGGGTCTATAGATCGAGGATGAAAGGGTGGGTCTATAGATCGAGGATGAAAGGGTGGGTCTATAGATCAAGGATGAAAGGGTGGGTCTATAGATCAAGGATGAAAGGGTGGGTCTGTAGATCGAGGAGGAAAGGGTGGGTCTGTAGATCGAGGATGAAAGGGTGGGTCTGTAGATCGAGGATGAAAGGGTGGGTCTGTAGATCGAGAATGAAAGGGTGGGTCTGTAGATCGAGGATGAAAGGGTGGGTCTGTAGATCTAGGATGAAAGGGTGGGTCTGTAGATCTAGGGTGAAAGGGTGGGTCTATAGATCGAGGATGAAAGGGTGGGTCTATAGATCGAGGATGAAAGGGTGGGTCTATAGATCGAGGATGAAAGGGTGGGTCTATAGATCGAGGATGAAAGGGTGGGCCTATAGATTATGAAAGGTGAGTCTATAGACAGGGGATGAAGGGTGGATCTATGGGTGGGAAATGGAATGTGAGTCTATGGAGGATGAAAGGTGGGTCTATGGAGGATGAAAGGTGGGTTTATGGGTATGAGATGAAAGGTGGGTCTATGGGTGGGAAATGGAAGATGAGTCTATGGAGGATGAAAGGTGGGTCTATGGGTGAAGGATGAAAAGTGAGTCTATGGAGGATGAATGGTGGGTTTATGGGCCGGAGATGAAATGTAAGTCTATGGGTCAGGAATGAAAAGGCAGGTCTACAGGCCAGGAATTAACGGGTGAGTCTATGGGTAGGGAGAAATGGTCAGTCTAAGGTTCAAGGATAAAGGGTAAGTCTATGACCAAAGAATCAAAGGCAGATCTATGAGCAGAGCAGATAAGGTCTAGGGGAGAAAATTAAAGGTGGGTCCATTGGGGATGAGAGGAGGGTATATGGGATGGATGAAAGGCTGGCCTATGGGCACAGATGAACATTGGGACAGAGGCGGTTCTATGGCCAATGGGCAAATAGCAGGCCTATAAGCAAGGGATGGTTATATGGTAAGCTGGTCTATGGCAAGAAAATGGAAAAAAAGGCAGGTCTATGGGTGGATGATGAAGGGTGGGTCCATCAGTTGGGATGAAAGTTGGTTTACGGGCAAAGGATAAAGGCAGGTCTGTGGGTAGAGGATAAAAGGTGAATCTATGGGTGAAAGAGTAAAAGCAGGTAGGGATGAAAGCTGTGTATATGGGATGGATGAAAGTCTGTCCTACGGGTGGGGATGAAGGTCGGGTATGTGAGCTGAAGAGCAACTGGTGGTTCTATGGGGAATGGGCAAATGGTGGGCCTATAGAAAATGATGTAAGGCAGGTCTACAACCAGAAGATGAAAAGTGGTTCCATGGGTGAAAGATGAAGGACTGGTCCATCAAATAGGAGGAAAGGTGGGTAGAAGAGCAGAAGATAAAAGGAAGGTCTATGTTCAGACACTAAAGAGTGTGTCAATTGGATTGGATGAAAGGTGGTTCTATTGGTGTTGGAGGAAAGAGGTGGGATTATAGGCAAGAGAGGAAAATCAGGTATTTGGCCAGAAGATGAACAGTGGTTCATATGAGTGTAATATGAAGGAAGAGTGGGCTCATCTGAGAAAGTGAAAGGTGGGTCTAGGGGCAGAGGTTAAAGAATGGGTCTATGGGCTTTGGATGAAAGGTGGTCCTATTGGTGGTGGACAAAAGGTGGGATTATAGGCAAGAGAGGAAAATCAGGTTTTAGACCAGAGGATGAAAAATGGCTCAATGAGTGGAATATGAAGGAAGAGTGGGCCCATCAGAGAGAGTGAAAGGTGGGTCTAGGGGCAGAGGATAAAGAGTGGGTCTATGGGCTTTGGCTGAAAGGTGGTCCTATTGGTGGTGGATGAAAGGTGGGCCTAAAGGCAAGAGTTGAAAATCAGGTCTATGACCAGAAGATGAAAGGTGGTGTATGGGTGGAGGATAACAGATGGTCACATTAATGGTTGGTCTACAGTCAAGGAATAAAAGAAAGGTCTATGGGCAGAAGATAGAAGGTGGGTCCATGGGTAGAGAACAAATGGTGGGTCTATGAGCAGAAGATGAATGGTGGGTCCATGAGCTGAAGATGAAAGGTGGGTCTATGAGCTGAAGATGAAAGGTGGGTCTATGAGATGAAAGGTGGGTCCATGAGCTGAAGATGAAAGGTGGGTCTATGAGCTGAAGATGAATGGTGGGTCCATGAGCTGAAGATGAAAGGTGGGTCCATGAGCTGAAGATGAAAGGTGGGTCTATGAGCTGAAGATGAAAGATGGGTCCATGAGCTGAAGATGAAAGATGGGTCCATGAGCTGAAGATGAAAAGTGGGTCTATGAGTTGAAGATGAAAGGTGGTCTATGAGCTGAAGATGAAAGGTGGGTCTATGAGCTGAAGATGAAAGGTGGGTCTATGAGCTGAAGATGAAAGGTGGGTCTATGAGATGAAGATGAAAAGGTGGGTCTATGAGATGAAGATGAAAGGTGGGTCTATGACCTGAAGATGAAAGGTGGGTCTATGAGCTGAAGATGAAAGGTGGGTCTATGAGCTGAAGATGAAAGGTGGGTCTATGAGCTGAGGATGAAAGGTGGTCATAATGGTGATGAAGGAAAGTCAGGTTTATGAGTGGGAGAATAAGGATGACTCCATGGTCTGGGATGAAAATCGGGTCTGTGGGGTTGGGGATGGGTGGAGGGTCTACAGGCATAGGATGAACATGAATGGAGCTTCTCCATTCTGTTGGTGGCAAAGTCATCTACTGCCCAGGGAAAAGATGACAAAAAGCACCGCTGCCCCCCCCCCCCCCCCCCCGTCCCCAAAATACTGGAGCTTTATGTGTCTGCAAAAATCCCCTCCCCTCAATTCCAAAAGAAACTGACCACAAATCTGCATGCTTAACCCTTGGCAAGCCAGAGTTCTCCCCAAACAAAAACTCCCCTCTTCCACTAGAAACACTCCCCCCCCCAGAAATCCCCAACCCAGCACAAACTTTTGTGCTCAAATCCTACAAATCTTCTCCCTCCCCAAATTCCCCCTTCCAGCACAAATCCTCTTCCCCTCAAATTTCCTCTCTGAGCATAAATCCTCTACCCCTCACACACAAATCCCTCCTAAATTTTTCCCTTCTAGAACAAATCCTCCTCAATAATCCCTACTAGCAATCTTCTACCCCAAATCCCCCTTACTCACACAAATCCCCGCTCCTAGCCCCCCCCCCAGATCACCACCAGCACAAATCCCCCCCCCCCCCCTCCTAAACTTTGTGTCCTAAAATAAACTGTACACCACTGCTACCCCCAAAATTTCCTTCTCCCAGTACAAATCCTCTCCCCTTTAACCCCCTCTCCTAGCACATATCCCCCCCCCCGCTCCAAACCCCCTCCTAGCACAAATACTCTCATACCCTAGATATTTCTTACTCTGAAGCTGCTGTCACTACTCCTTCCAGCTTGTAGGTAGGGACTCCCCATGCAGCTTCCCCAACCTTGTATGACACCACTGGGCCCAGGGCTCCCCCCCCCCACCAGAAATCACCAACCCAGCACAAACCTTTGTGATCAAATCCTACAAATGTTCTCTATCCCCCAAATTCCCCCCCCTTCCAGCACAAATCCTCTTCCCCTCAAATTTCCCCTCTGAGCATAAGTCCTCTACTCCCCCCTACAAATCCCACTTCCTAGCAAATCCCCCCTAAGTTTTTCCCTCCTAGCACAAATACTCTGATACCCAAGATATTCCTTACTCTGAATCTGCTGTCATTACTCCTTCCAGCTTGTAGGCAGAGACTCTCCCCCAACCTTGTATGACACCACTGAGCCCAGGGAAGCCGACCCCCCCCCTCAGAAATCCGCAACCCAGCAGAACTCCTCTACTCCCCCTCCCTCTACAAATTGCCCCCATAGCACAAATCCTCTTCCCCTCAGATTTCCCCTCTGAACATAAATCCTCTACCCCCCCCTTACAAATCCCTCCTTCTAGCACAAGTCCTCTCTTCCCCTCAAATTTACCCTCTGTGCATAAATCCTCTACTCCCCCCCCCCCCCCCAAATTTCCCTTCTGAGCATAAATCCTCTACCCCCCCCCCCACACACACACACACAAATCCCACCTCCTAGCACAAATACCCCCTAAATTTTTCCCTTCTAGAACAAATCCTACTCAATAATCCCTACTAGCATAAATCCTCTCCCCCAAATCTCCCTTACTAACACAAATCCCCCCTCCTACCTCCTAGCACCCCCCCCCCCCCAAAATCACCATCAGCACAAATTCCCCCCCCCCTCCTAAATTTTGTGTCCTAAAATAAACTGTACACCACTGCTACCCTCAAATTTCCTTCTCCCAGTACAAATCCTCTCCCCTTTAACCCCCTCTCCTAGCACATATCCCCCCCCCCCGCTCCAAACCCCCCCCTCCTGGCACAAATACTCTCATACCCTAGATATTTTCTTACTCTGAAGCTGCTGTCACTACTCCTTCCAGCTTGTAGGTAGGAACTCCCCCATGCAGCTTCCCCAACCTTCTATGACACCACTGGGCCCAGCCCCCCCCCCCCCAGAAATCACCAACCCAGCACAAACCTTTGTGATCAAATCCTACAAATCTTCTCTCTCCCCAAATTCCCCCTTCCAGCACAAATCCTCTTCCCCTCAAATTTCCCCTCTGAGCATAAATCCTCTACTCCCCCCTACAAATCCCTCCTTCTAGCACAAATCCCCCCTAAGTTTTTCCCTCCTAGCACAAATACTCTGATACCCAAGATATTCCTTACTCTGAATCTGCTGTCATTACTCCTTCCAGCTTGTAGGCAGAGACTCTCCCCCAACCTTGTATGACACCACTGAGCCCAGGGAATCCGACCCCCCCCCCTGCCCCCCCCAGAAATCCTCAACCTAGCAGAACTCCTCTACTCCCCCTCCCCCTACAAATTCCCCCCATAGCATAAATCCTCTTCCCCTCAAATTCTCTCTGTGAGCATAAATTCTCTACTCCACCCCCCCCCCCACCCCCACAAATCCCACCTCCTAGCACAACTCCCAACTACGTTTTTCCCTCCTAGCACAAATACTCTGATACCCAAGATATTTCTAATCCAGGCCATACATGGTTCGAATACTGAATGATTTTTCGTCCGAAAACGTCGTTCGCTCGGTAATCCAATCATTGATTTCCAAAATCGGTCGACCGAGTCATAAAGTTCCCCCCATATAACAGGCAAAACATCTGCTCCTTCCAGGTCACGGCTCATGGCGCATATTCTTTTTGGAAAAACGATCAACCATCAGTGAGTCGAAAATCGGTCGTTTTTCACAAATTTTCCAACATGCCCGATCACCGAAAAGGGGAGGAACCATGAAAATCGTCCGGTGCCATTGACCTACTAACAGAGCGAAAATCGAGCGATTATTCTTAGGTCTGATTTTCGGAGGAAAAATCGGTCGATTTTCCACCCATGTATGGCCGGCCTTACTCTGAAGCTGCTGTCACTACTCCTTCCAGCTTGTAGGCAGAGACTCTCCACCAACCTTGAATGACACCACTGGGCCCAGGGCAGCCGCCCCCCCCCCCCCCCCCACCCATCCATTGGTGGATCTCTAGATTGTCTCCCTGCTCAGTAACGCTTCCTTTCTATCCAGCCTTTTGGATAAAAGTCGTCCCGAGAACTGAAAATATTCCAACAATTCGCCGTCTCGGAAGCCAAGCTGGAATAATTAGAACCTCCGGAGCGCGGCCGGGATTTGTTAACTGGTCCAGGGACCGCCTGTCGCCTTCCTATCATCTGCCCAAATCTATTTTACGCCGCGCTGCTCGGCGGTCTGACAGCTCCGCACATAAAAGCTCGCAGCACGACGATCGTCTAGCAACACAATCTAACGAGGTGGAAAACAGACAGCAGAACAAAGGCGTCCATCTCCCAGAAAGGAACCCCTCCCCCCCCCCCCCCCCACCACCAGCATGCTCACGCCACTTAGGCTCATTGCCAAAATGACACGACTTTCCTATCGGGGGGGGGGGGGGGGATAAACAGGCGATCTTTATTCAGTGAAAGGTGGAGACCCCCCCAAATGATAACATTTCCACCAGAAAAAAAAAATAGAAAGAATCAGATGCTGAGCACAATCTCTGCTCCAGACGCCGCAGGACATTTCGCTGTCTCCCGCCCACGCGATCGGTAAATTCGTCTTGGGCTCCAGCTGCAGAAAACTATAAAAAGGATTTCTTAATCCCGCGCTATATTTAGCCGTTTGATATGTTCGGGTTGCCAAAGTATAAACGCGTCCCGGATTCAGCGGGAATTAAAGATTAATGACGGCGTCCCGCCGAGAGCGCCGCGCTACAAAGGAAACGTACACAAATCTCCGCCGAAAAGCCTCCGCTCCACCAGTCATCTCCAGGCAGGCGAACTTCAAACGTTCATCACCATTATGTGACATGCCGAGAAAATCACGCCACAGACCCAACAATTAGAGAACAAGACTTAGGTCGAATTTCGACTCATGTATGGCCTATACATGAGTCGAAATTCGACCTAAGAATAATCGGCCGATTTTCGCTCTGTTATGATGATAGAAAGGCGACAAGCAGTCCCTGGACCAGTTAACTAGTTGCCGACCGCAGATAGCCGAATGACGGCTTCACTGCGGCCGGCCAGTTCTGGGTGGACATCATATGACGTCCCCCCAGAACGCGCTCTCCTGCGCGCCCCAGGGGGCGCGCACCCCGGCGATCTCCGTGATCGCTGTGTCCTACGGACACAGCTGATCACGAGATGTGGTAAAAGGCCAATCATACCGGCCTTTTACCACATGATCAGCGGTGTCCAATGACGCTGTCAGATCGTGAGGAAAGTACTGCCGAGAACCGGCAGTTGTCAGAGCGAGGATCGGCACCGATCATCAGGGCACTGATGATCAGTGCCCTGATGATCGGTGCCCAGCAGTGCCACCCACAAGTTCCGCCACCTGTGCCCAGCAGTGCGCCCACTAGCTCCGCCCACCTGTGCCCAGCAGTGCACCCACCTGTGCCACTCTGCACTGTCACACACCTGTGCCCAGAAGTGCCACCTACCCGTGCCCAGCAGTGCCACCCACCTGTGCCCACCCACCTGTGCCCACCAGTGCCACCCACCTGTGCCCACCCACCAGTGCTGCCCACCAGTGCCACCCACCAGTGCAGCCCAGCAGTGCTGCCAGTCAGTGCCACCAGTCAGTGCCCAGCGGTTGTGCCAGTCAGTGCCCAGCAGTGATGCCAGTCAGTGCCATCTATCAGTACCCATCATCAGTGTCACCTATCAGTGCCGCCTATCAGTGCTGCATATTAGTGCCGCCTATCCGCGACACCTCATTAGTGCTGTCTATCAGTGTCGCCTATCCGTGCCACCTCATTAGTGCTGCCTATCAGTGCCCTTTAGTGCTGCCTATCAGTGCCCATCAGTGCCGCCTATCAGTGCCCATCAGTGCTGCCTCATCAACGCACATCAGTGAAGGAGAAAAATTACCTGTTTGAAAAATTTTATAATAGAAACAAAGAAACTTTTTTTTTTTTCAAATTTTTTGCATTTTTTAATTTATAGCACAAAAAGTAAAGCGCCCAGCGGGGATTAAATACCACCAAAAGAAAGCTCTATTTGTGAGAAAAAAATGATCAAAATTTCATATGGGTACAATGTTGCATGACCGCGCAATTGTCAATCAAAGTGTGGCAGCGCTGAAAGCTGAAAATTGGCCTGGTAAGGAAGGGGGTAGAAGTGCCGGGTAGGCAGGAAGGGGGTAGAAGTGCCGGGTAGGCAGGAAGGGGGTGTCAGTGCCCTGTAGGCAGGAAGGGGGTAGAAGTGCCGGGTAGGCAGGAAGGGGGTAGAAGTGCCCTGTAGGCAGGAAGGGGGTAGAAGTGCCCGGTGGGCAGGAAGGGGGTAGAAGTGCCCGGTAGGCAGGAAGGGGGTAGAAGTGTCCTGTAGGCAGGAAGGGGGTAGAAGTGCCCGGTAGGCAGGAAGGGGGTAGAAGTGCCCTGTAGGCAGGAAGGGGGTAGAAGTGCCCGGTAGGCAGGAAGGGTAGAAGTGCCCTGTAGGCAGGAAGGGGGTAGAAGTGCCCTGTAGGCAGGAAGGGGGTAGAAGTGCCCGGTAGGCAGGAAGGGGGTAGAAGTGCCCGGTAGGCGAGGGGTTAACAAATCCCGCCGCGCTCCGGAGGTTCTAATTATTCCAGCTTGGCTTCCGAGACGGCGAATTGTTGGAATATTTTCAGTTCTCGGGACGACTTTTATCCAAAAGGCTGGATAGAAAGGAAGCGTTACTGAGCAGGGAGACAATCTAGAGATCCACCAACTATGGCCGGGGGGTGGGGGGGTGGGGGGCTGCCCTGGGCCCAGTGGTGTCATACAAGGTTGGGGGAGAGTCTCTGCCTACAAGCTGGAAGGAGTGGTGACAGCAGCTTCAGAGTAAGGCCGGCCATACATGGGTGGAAAATCGACCGATTTTTCATCCGAAAATCAGACCTAAGAATAATCAGCCGATTTTTGCTCTGTTAGTGGGGTCAATGGCACCGGACGATTTTTTCCTGGTTCCTCCCCTTTACGGTGAACGGGCATGTTGGAAAATTCGTGAAAAACTACCGATTTTTGACTCAATGATGTTCGATCGATCGTTTTTCTGAAAAGAATATGCGCATGTTCTCGGACGACTTTTATCCAAAAGGCTGGATAGAAAGGAAGCGTTACTGAGCAGGGAAATAATCTAGAGATCCACCAACCATGGCCGGGGGGGGGATGGGGCGGCTGCCCAGTGGTGTCATACAAGGTTGGGGGAGAGTCTCTGCCTACAAGCTGGAAGGATTGGTGACAGCAGCTTCAGAGTAAGGCCGGCCATACATGGGTCGAAAAGCGACAGATTTTTCGTCCGAAAATCAGACCTAAGAATAATCAGCCGATTTTCGCTCTGTTAGTGGGGTCAATGGTACCGGACGATTTTCGTGGTTAACACAAGAAGGCCCGGCTAGGCGTGTCAGGCATATTGTAGCCGGGCTTTTTTGTGTCATTGGTGCAGTAAAAGCTTCTTTCTGGCACCTCCACCATGCAGCTCATTTTTGTTGTAGTGTCATCATATTGTACAAACCACAACGTCATTTTCCAGAGCAGCCTGGATTCCTCCAGCGGTCACCTGTGGGGGGTTCCCCTTTGAATCCCGGACAATTCTTCTGGCAGTTGTGGCTGCAATCTTTCTTGGTCTACCTGACCTCGGCTTGGTATCCAGAGATCCCCGAACTTTCCACTTCTTAATAGGTGATATAACAGAACTGATTGGCATATTCAAGGCTTTGGACATCTTTTTATGTCCTTTTCCATCTTTATAAAGTTCCATTACCTTGTTACGCAGGACTTTTGACAGTTCTTTTCTGCTCCCCATGGCTCAGTATCTAGCCTAGTCAGTGTTTCCACGTAAGAGCGAACAAACTCACCGACTATTTATACACTGACACCGATTGTGATGTAAGAAGTCACAGATGTGGGACATGAACCTCTAATTGGCATTGTAACCCGTGTGTGTCCCCTTGTGTGCCTGTACCAAGGCCCAACATTCCAGGGGGTGGAGACTTCTGATCCGGGGGCAGAGACTTCTGATCCAGGAGGCGGAGACTTCTGATCCGGGGGGCAGAGACTTCTGATCCAGGAGGGGCGGAGACTTCTGATCCAGGAGGGGCGGAGACTTCTGATCCAGGAGGGGCGGAGACTTCTGATCCAGGAGGGGCGGAGACTTCTGATCCAGGAGGGGCGGAGACTTCTGATCCAGGAGGGGCGGAGACTTCTGATCCAGGAGGGGTGGAGACTTCTGATCCAGGAGGGGCGGAGACTTCTGATCCAGGAGGGGCGGAGACTTCTGATCCAGGAGGGGCGGAGACTTCTGATCCAGGAGGGGCGGAGACTTCTGATCCGGGGGCGGAGACTTCTGATCCAGGAGGGACGGAGACTTCTGATCCAGGAGGGGCGGAGACTTCTGATCCAGGAGGGGCGGAGACTTCTGATCCAGGAGGGGCGGAGACTTCTGATCCAGGAGGGGTGGAGACTTCTGATCCAGGAGGGGCGGAGACTTCTGATCCAGGAGGGGCGGAGACTTCTGATCCAGGAGGGGCGGAGACTTCTGATCCAGGAGGGGCGGAGACTTCTGATATGGGGGCGGAGACTTCTGATCCGGGCCATTTGGGTGATTTCTGTTATCATTATGATTTATAAAGGAGCCGAACAACTCTGTGATAATAAATGGCGTCACATGACCATCATCCTCCAATAAAAGAGCATTTATTGGCAGATCCGCCATATTATCATTATCAATGCCAAAATGTCACAATTTCTGCCGGGGTATGAAAACTTTTGAGCACAACTGTAGTCCCGTATTTAGAGTGCACCCCCCCCCCCCCCAGACATGGCAGCCATCTTTGGTATGAAGCACCATTTATTATAATCACTGAATGGTGTGGGAGCAAAAATAACCGGATGGGATGCCGGACTCCTCGCACCGCGACGTTACATTGTTATCACAGGGAGACTGTGCTGCAGCTGGGTCACTGACTCTAGTGAACGGATAGGCTGCATTCTCGGTGATGTCACCTGACTCTAGTGAACGGATAGGCTGCATTCTCGGTGATGTCACCTGACTCTAGTGAACGGATAGGCTGCATTCTCGGTGATGTCATCACTCTCTAGTGAAGGGATGGGCTGCGTTCTCGGTGATGTGCGTTCTCAGTGATGTCACCGCTCTCTAGTGAATGGATAGGCTGCATTCTCAGTGATGTCATCGCTCTCTAGTGAATGGATAGGCTGCATTCTCAGTGATGTCACTGCTCTCTAGTGAATGGATAGGCTGCATTCTCAGTGATGTCACTGCTCTCTAGTGAATGGATAGGCTGCATTCTCAGTGATGTCACTGCTCTCTAGTGAATGGATAGGCTGCATTCTCAGTGATGTCACTGCTCTCTAGTGAATGGATAGGCTGCATTCTCAGTGATGTCACTGCTCTCTAGTGAATGGATAGGCTGCATTCTCAGTGATGTCAGTGCTCTCTAGTGTGAATGGATAGGCTGCATTCTCAGTGATGTCAGTGCTCTCTAGTGAATGGATAGGCTGCATTCTCAGTGATGTCACCGCTCTCTAGTGAATGGATAGGCTGCATTCTCAGTGATGTCACCGTTCTCTAGTGAATGGATAGGCTGCGTTCTCAGTGATGTCACCGCTCTCTAGTGAAGGGATAGGCTGCGTTCTCAGTGATGTCACCACTCTCTAGTGAATGGATAAGCTGCGTTCTCAGTGATGTCACCGCTCTCTAGTGAACGGATAGGCTGCATTCTCAGTGAGGTCACCGCTCTCTAGTGAATGGATAGGCTGCATTCTCAGTGATGTCACCGTTCTCTAGTGAATGGATAGGCTGCATTCTCAGTGATGTCACCGCTCTCTAGTGAAGGGATAGGCTGCATTCTCAGTGATGTCATCGCTGTCTAGTGAATGGATAAGCTGCATTCTCGGTGATGTCACCGCTCTCTAGTGAATGGATAGGCTGCATTCTCGGTGATGTCACCGCTCTCTAGTGATTGGATAGGCTGCATTCTCAGTCATGTCACCGCTCTCTAGTGATTGGATAGGCTGCATTCTCGGTGATGTCACCGCTCTCTAGTGAATGGATAGGCTGCGTTCTCAGTGATGTCACCGCTCTCTAGTGAATGGATAGGCTGCATTCTCAGTGATGTCACCGCTCTCTAGTGAATGGATAGGCTGCATTCTCGGTGATGTCACCGCTCTCTAGTGAACGGATAGGCTGCATTCTCGGTGATGTCACCGCTCTCTAGTGAACAGATAAGCTGTGTTCTCGGTGATGTCACCGCTCTCTAGTGAATGGATAGGCTGCGTTCTCGGTGATGTCACCGCTCTCTAGTGAACGGATAGGCTGCGTTCTCAGTGATGTCACCGCTCTCTAGTGAATGGATAGGCTGCATTCTCAGTGATGTCACCGCTCTCTAGTGAACGGATAGGCTGCATTCTCGGTGATGTCACCGCTCTCTAGTGAACGGATAGGCTGCATTCTCGGTGATGTCACCGCTCTCTAGTGAACAGATAAGCTGTGTTCTCGGTGATGTCACCGCTCTCTAGTGAACAGATAAGCTGTGTTCTCGGTGATGTCACCGCTCTCTAGTGAACGGATAGGCTGCGTTCTCGGTGATGTCACCGCTCTCTAGTGAACGGATAGGCTGCGTTCTCGGTGATGTCACCGCTCTCTAGTGAATGGATAGGCTGCATTCTCAGTGATGTCACCGCTCTCTAGTGAACGGATAGGCTGCATTCTCGGTGATGTCACCGCTCTCTAGTGAACGGATAGGCTGCATTCTCGGTGATGTCACCGCTCTCTAGTGAACAGATAAGCTGTGTTCTCGGTGATGTCACCGCTCTCTAGTGAATGGATAGGCTGCGTTCTCGGTGATGTCACCGCTCTCTAGTGAACGGATAGGCTGCGTTCTCAGTGATGTCACCGCTCTCTAGTGAATGGATAGGCTGCATTCTCAGTGATGTCACCGCTCTCTAGTGAACGGATAGGCTGCATTCTCGGTGATGTCACCGCTCTCTAGTGAACGGATAGGCTGCATTCTCGGTGATGTCACCGCTCTCTAGTGAACAGATAAGCTGTGTTCTCGGTGATGTCACCGCTCTCTAGTGAACAGATAAGCTGTGTTCTCGGTGATGTCACCGCTCTCTCTAGTGAACGGATAGGCTGCGTTCTCGGTGATGTCACCGCTCTCTAGTGAACGGATAGGCTGCGTTCTCGGTGATGTCACCGCTCTCTAGTGAATGGATAGGCTGCGTTCTCAGTGATGTCACCGCTCTCTAGTGAACGGATAGGCTGCACCCTTATATACTACATTCCCTGCAGACATCGGGGATCGGTGTTTGCTCTGCAGACTGTCGCACCTACCTGTAGTGCAAGTGGTTTCCATCGGACGTTCTTCAGGAGTGCGGGTGCCGAGGCCAGAGTGTTCTGGGGTCTCTTCTTCAGTGTCAGGATCACCCCGTTGGGATCTTCTCTCAAAGCGTTCACCAAGTTCTTCAGCTGCCAACCGACCTGAAGAGACACAAAGCAGATCGTTCGTCATCTGGAATCCGTACAACGAAGTGCAGAAAATCGACAAAACCCGGAATATGGATTTCACTTGTATGTCTGCTGGAGAGCCGAGCCCCATAGAGTCCCCTGTACTGCGGAGTCACCAACGGGGAGAAGAATCTACCGGGATGCCCAACCCCCTCCGACCATGACAGATAGCCAATAGAGACACAAACCAGGGAGATCTCCCCATTGTGGGAGGGGCAGAGACACAAACTACTGCGGGAAATCTCCCCATTGTGGGAGGGGCAGAGACACAAACTACTGCGGGAAATCTCCCCATTGTGGGAGGGGCAGAGACACAAACTACTGCAGGAAATCTCCCCATTGTGGGAGGGGCAGCCACAAACTACTGCAGGAAAATCTCCCCATTGTGGGAGGGGCAGAGACACAAACTACTGCAGGAAATCTCCCATTGTGGGAGGGGCAGAGACACAAACTACTGCAGGAAATCTCCCATTGTGGGAGGGGCAGAGACACCAACTACTGCAGGAAATCTCCCCATTGTGGGAGGGGCAGAGACACCAACTACTGCAGGGAAATCTCCTCATTGTGGGAGGGCAGAGACACCAACTACTGTGGGAAATCTCCCATTGTGGGAGGGGCAGAGACACCAACTACTGCAGGGAAATCTCCCCATTGTGGGAGGGGCAGAGACACCAACTACTGCGGGAAATCTCCCATTGTGGGAGGGGCAGAGACACAAACTACTGCAGGGAAATCTCCCCATTGTGGGAGGGGCAGAGACACCAACTACTGCGGGAAATTTCCCATTGTGGGAGGGGCAGAGACACAAACTACTGCAGGGAAATCTCCCCATTGTGGGAGGGGCAGAGACACCAACTACTGCAGGAAATTTCCCATTGTGGGAGGGGCAGAGACACAAACTACTGCAGGGAAATCTCCCCATTGTGGGAGGGGCAGAGACACCAACTACTGCAGGGAAATCTCCCCATTGTGGGAGGGGCAGAGACACAAACTACTGGAGGAAATCTCCCCATTGTGGGAGGGGCAGAGACATAAACTACTGTGGGAAATCTCCCCATTGTGGGAGGGGCAGAGGCACAAACTACTGCGGGGAAATCTGCCCATTGTGGGAGGGGCAGAGAAAAACTACTGGGGGGAATCTCCCCATTATGGGAGGGACAGAGACACAATCTTTGTGCAAAGGGGAGCATTGTAACAGGTGCTGTAATGCTTTCATAAAGCTATGTACTGCACACTGCCGGCCCCTCCCACCAGCTATGATCTGCCGGCATAGTATAGAGAAGCACAGAGAATCAGTGATGACATAGTTGTGTATGCAATGAAAATAGAAAGATTTTATTTAATTCTATTAGCATGTTGATGGGGGGCGGGGGGGGGGGGGGGGGGGGGCGTTGTCAGGGAAGACAAAATACAAGCATATTAAACTTCAGCTGTAAAGTGTATCTAAAATGCTAAACTTTTCTTTTTTTTTAGATAGCAAGGCTGACACCCTGGCAGGTTTTTACTTTATTATGTGTTTATGTATTCAAAGTAACCGACAGCCCAACACTCTCACATCCCCATAATACTGTATACGTATTTATTATGTATTATTTATTTATTATTTATTATGTATCGTTTATTTATTGTGTATTTATCGATTTTTTAAATATTATGAATTCATTATTTATTATGCATTATTTATGTATTTATGGATACAAAGTATACACAGTAAATGACAGCCCCACACTCTCACATTATAGTCACCATCATACCGTATATGTATTTTTATGTAATTTTTATTATTATAATATTATTGTTATTATTATGCCTTTTTTATGTATTTGTGTAATCAAAGAAACCAACAGCCCGACACTCTCCGTCACCTTCACCATAATACTGTATATTTATTTATTATGTATTATTTAGCATGTATATTATGTATCATTCATGTATTGTGTATTTATCTATTTTTTTATTATTATGTATTCAATATTTATAATGCATTATTTATGTAATTATTATTTATTATGTTTTTTTTTTGGATATAAAAGTATACACAGTAAATGACAGCCCCACACTCTCACATTACCATCATACCGTATATGTATTTATTATGTTATTATTATTATTATTATTATTATTATTATTATTATTAATAGATAGATTGTTATTATTATGTCTTTTTTAATGTATTTGTGTATTCAACAGCCCGACACTCTCACAGCACCGCTACCATAGTGCTGTATACAGAGAAGGAAATGCGTATTCACTCCCCTGCTGAAGTTGAATGTTCGCCCCTCACACAGAAACGATCGGTCTAACAATGGAATGTTCGCCCCTCACACAGAAATGATCGGTCTAACAATGGAATGTTCGCCCCTCACACAGAAATGATCGGTCTAACAATGGAATGTTCGCCCCTCTCACACAGAAACGATCGGTCTAACAATGGAATGTTCGCCCCTCACACAGAAATGATCGGTCTAACAATGGAATGTTCGCCCCTCACACAGAAATGATCGGTCTAACAATGGAATGTTTTTTTGTGCCCCTCACACAGAAACGATCGGTCTAACAATGGAATGTTCGGTGTAACACTGAGAGACAGAATACAACAACAAATTCAGCAGAAATGCGTCTAACAAATGATGACGGATCTGCATGTTCATGAGGGAAAGAAGGATTTGATCCCCTTCACAAAACATGACTTAGTACTTGGTGGCCAATCCCTTGTTGGCCATCACAGAGGTCAGACATTTCCTGGAGTTGGCCCCCAGGTTCGCACACATCTCAGGAGGGGTTTTGGCCCACTCCTCTCGGCAGATTCTCTCCAAGTCCTTAAGGTTTGGTGGCTGACGTTTGGCAACTCGAACTTTCAGCTCTCTCCACAGATTTTCCATTGGATGAAGGTCTGGAGGCTGGCTAGGCCACTCCAGGACCTTAATGTGCTTCTTCTTGAGCCGCTCCTTTGTTGCCTTGGCCGTGTGTTTTTGGTCATTGTCATGCTGGAACACCCATCCACCACCCATTTTCAATGCCCTGGCTGAGGGAAGAAGGTTCCCACCCAAGATTTGAGGGTACATTGCCCCGTCCATCGTCCCTTTGATGCGGTGCAGTTGTCCTGTCCCCTTAGCAGAACCCCCCCCCAAAGCAGAATGTTTCCACCACCATGTTTCACAGTTGGGATGGTGTTCTTGGGGTCATAGGCAGCATTCCTCCTCCTCCAAACATGGCGAGTTGAGTTGATGCCAAAGAGCTGGATTTTGGTCTCCTCTGACCACAACACTTCCCACCAGTCCTCCTCTGCATCATTCAGATGTTCAGTGGCAGACTTCAGACGGGCCTGGACATGGGCTTTCTTGAGCAGAGGGACCTTGCGGGCACTGCAGGATTTCAGTCCTTGTCGGCGTAGTGTGTTACCAATTGTTTTCTTGGTGACTGTGGTCCCAGCTGCCTGGAGATCATTGACAAGATCCTCACGTGTAGTTCTGGGATGATTCCTCACTGTTCTCATGATCATTGACACTCCACGAGGTGAGATCTTGCATGGTGCACCAGACCTAGGGAGACTGACACTTGTTTTTGTGTTTCTTCCATTTGTGAATGATTGCACCAACTGTTGTCACCTTTCTCTCACAAGCTGCTTGGCCATAGTTTGGTAGCCCAGTCCAGCCTTGTGTAGGTCTACCATCTTGTCCCTGACATCCTTGGACAGCTCTTTGGTCTTTGCCATGGTGGAGAGTTTGGAATCTGATGGTTTGATTGCTCCTGTGGACAGGTGTCATTTATACAGGTAACACAATGAGATTAGCAGCACTCCCTTTAAGAGACTGCTTCTAATCTCAGCTTGTTACCTGTATGAGAGACACCTGGGAGCCAGAAATCCTGCTGAATGATAGGGGATCAAATCCTTCTTTTTTCATGAACATGCAGATCCGTCATCATTTGTTAGATGCATTTCTGCTGAATTTGTTGTTGTATTCTGTCTCTCAGTGTTACACCGAAACATTCCATTGTTAGACCGATCATTTCTGTGTGAGGGGCGAACATTCCATTGTTAGACCGATCATTTCTGTGTGAGGGGCGAACATTCCATTGTTAGACCGATCATTTCTGTGTGAGGGGCGAACATTCCATTGTTAGACCGATCGTTTCTGTGTGAGAGGCGAACATTCCATTGTTAGACCGATCGTTTCTGTGTGAGGGGCGAACATTCCATTGTTAGACCGATCGTTTCTGTGTGAGGGGCGAACATTCCATTGTTTAGACCGATCGTTTCTGTGTGAGGGGCGAACATTCCATTGTTAGACCGATCATTTCTGTGTGAGGGGCGAACATTCCATTGTTAGACCGATTCGTTTCTGTGTGAGGGGCGAACATTCCATTGTTTAGACCGATCATTTCTGTTGTGAGAGGCGAACATTCCATTGTTAGACCGATCGTTTCTGTGTGAGAGGCGAACATTCCATTTTTAGACCGATCATTTCTGTTTTTGAGGGGCGAACATTCCATTGTTAGACCGATCGTTTCTGTGTGAGAGGCGAACATTCCATTGTTAGACCGATCGTTTCTGTGTGAGGGGCGAACATTCCATTGTTAGACCGATCGTTTTTTTGTGAGGGGCGAACATTCCATTGTTAGACCGATCATTTCTGTGTGATGGGCGAACATTCAGCATCAGCCGGGGAGCAAATACACATTTCCTGCACTGTATATGTATATATATTTATATCTTTTAATGAATAATAAAAATATTCTTAAAATGTTTATACCTAAAAAAAAATAATAATAATATATATATATATATATATATATACACACACTGTATATATATATATATATATATAAAACATATTATAAAGTATTCTTAAAATGTATCTAAAATGTATATTAAAAAAACATTACTATATGTCTAAATTGTATAATAAAATAACATTAAACTGTGTAATTTAAAAAAATCTAAAAATCTAAATGTACTATATATATAAATACTGTTTTTTTTTCTTGGAAGGATTAGAGATTTGTTAGGATATTATAGCTAATATAAAAAGAGGGGGTGCAGCTAGTAAAATCAACAATGTCACAATAAATACAGATATAAATATAAAGTGACAAGGTGCAAATACAGGAGCCACTGGATGGTGGCCGAAGGTGCTAGAAGGTGTTAACTCAGTCAAAGAAGTTCACAAAGAAGAAGTGTTGATAAGCGACTGCTCAACCCCTATGACTACGAGCAGTCGCACGAAACGCGTCAGGGCAGGGCTGCAGCAGGTGTGACGCTACGCCGCCGGCGCCACGAGGGGCCATCTTATTCACTTTCATGGTCAGTATTTTATGTGTACATTCCCCACTGTACTCGCACTCCTTATATGGAATACATTATCATATACATACTGCACTATGTGGGCTCCTCTGTTTCTTTGAGCTCTCCTGGGAGCCTATCACATCCGCATCCTTTGTGAGAAGACCCCCATATGAGCAGGCTGTATCCATTGTGTGGTGACCCCCATGAGTGATAGCACCGCCAGGGAGTGAGGGACAATCTGACCAGACCTATTGTGAGGATATCCTGAAGACCAGTGGCCTACTACTATCTATGCGCATTTGATTTGCGTATCTGGTGAGTGCGCAATCTCATTATCATTTATCACCGGATCCACGGTCTGTATCACTGGATATCTTGAGATCGTTTGAGATCTTATCAACACTTCTTCTTTGTGAACTTTTGACTGAGTTAACACCTTCTAGCACCTTCGGCCACCATCCAGTGGCTCCTGTATTTGCACCTTATCACTTTATATTTATATCTGTATTTATTGTGACATTGCTGATTTTACTAGCTGCACCCCCTCTTTTTCTATGTGTCTTGGAAGGTTTATTGGTACCTTTTCGGTGTACAGCTGCTAATATATTTGGCATCATTTTAGCGCTCGCTTCTCCTTTCTGCATTTCCAGGATATTATAGCTGTCTGGGTCCCCATTAGGGACATTGACCCTCTCTAGTCAAGCTTGGGACCACTGTCATTTACACAGAAAGCTCTGGGAAGCCCAAATTTTTGTCACGGAGTGGAGATGTCCTTTCACTTCCTGTTGCGTCTCCAGGACAGGAAGTGAAAGAATATCTTCTCAAAAGGGACATAGATGGCAAACAATAAGACAGATGTTTAACTCTTTCCTACTCCATCCAATACTAAAAAAACGATTTTGGCTGTACATACACCTAACAAAGTGCTGGAAACCTTTCCTTCCAAAGAACAATCTGAACAGTTATATTTACAGTTGAACTTTAATCTGCCTATATTTTAGCCTTCCCTGGTTCTCTTGTCATCACTGGGTCTCCGTGCTTCTCTATACAATGCAGGCAGATCATGGTTGGTGGGAGGGGCCAGCAGGGTGCTGTACTTAGCTTCCTGCAAACATCACAGTCCCCTGCCTCTTCTCAAGAGCCCTCAGTCCTGATGCAAGCAGTGGGAGGAGTTATGCAAATATGAAAATGTATTGATGGGTGAAGGTCAGCCTGGAGGAGCGGGTGTTCCTGGACAGGCTGTATTTGCATACAGACCGCCCACATGTGATCATCAGCTTCCATAATTGAAAGAACTGCAACCCAATAAATGAAGGGACTAAGTATAGTTAGGCTGGGGAGGAAAGTGCTAGATGATGCTGGATGTCCTCCAGCCAGGAAGTGAGACGGAGCTCTGATTGGCTGCAGCTTCTATTGCACATTGTGAGAAGCTCCCAGTGTGCAGTGATATCAGAGGAAGCCGCTTCAGTCCAGGGGAGGAGCCGGTACACCTGTGCAAGACTGGAGGGGAGGAGTCGGTACACCTGTGCAAGACTGGAGGGGAGGAGCTGGTACACCTGTGCTAGACTGAAGGGGAGGAGCCGGTACACCTGTGCAAGACTGGAGGGGAGGAGTCGGTACACCTGTGCAAGACTGGAGGGGAGGAGCCGGTACACCTGTGGTAGACTGAAGGGGAGGAGCCGGTACACCTGTGCAAGACTGGAGGGGAGGAGCCGGTACACCTGTGGTAGACTGAAGGGGAGGAGCCGGTACACCTGTGCAAGACTGGAGGGGAGGAGTCGGTACACCTGTGCAAGACTGGAGGGGAGGAGCCGGTACACCTGTGGTAGACTGAAGGGGAGGAGCCGATACATCTGTGCAATACTGGAGGGGAGGAGCCGGTACACCTGTGCAAGACTGAAGGGGAGGAGCCGGTACACCTGTGCAAAACTGGAGGGGAGGAGCCGGTACACCTGTGCAAGACTGAAGGGGAGGCGGTACACTTGTGCAAGACTGAAGGGGAGGAGCCGGTACACCTGTGCAAGACTGAAGGGGAGGAGCAGGTACACCTGTGCAAGACTGAAGGGGAGGAGCCGTACACCTGTGCAAGCCTGAAGGGGGGGGGGGGGTTGGAGGGAGGATTTAACCCTTTCCAAGTCTCTCATCTGCTTTTTTTTTTTTCTGCCCAAACTGCGATTCTATTTTGCTGAATATATAACAAACACTCAGAACTAGGCGGTTGGCGGTTTCCCGGCGTTGGCTGCGATTTCGGCTGGCGGCTAGACAAGATGAATTATTTCTTTTAATAATGTTCTCAGCCCCGGCGCGCAGAGCGCGGGCTCCCCGTCTACCGCCATCTACACAGACACAAATGATGGCGGGCATTATCGCGCCGTAACTGTAGATGTGTTTTAATGTTCTCCGACAGATCGCGGCGAGGAAGAAATGAAAACGTTCCAGAGCTTTAATTAAAGACGAGTCAATATTTTACTTCCAGCAGCTGAAATCGCCGACAATGGAACGGAATTTCCGGAAAGGATCCCCTCTGCACAATGAAAAGGAACAATGGAGGATATGGGCTCACTCGCTGTAGTCAAGCCCCACCCCCCACTACTTATTTTCTTTTTTCCTGCATGCTGGTAGGCAGGCAGCTCACACAAAGCGGAATCCTTCTTGTGTCTTCCGGAGCAGAAACTCCTCACTGATCACAATGTTATCTCTCACTCAGCAACAGCTCAGAGGTATTTTTTTAGGTTTAGAAGAGCATCTAGCGATGATTGGTCAGAAGTCATTCTGGAATGGGTGTGTCCCCCCTAAGGGCCCATTTACTTCTCTGTGGTGCATTAATGCACATGTGCAAATAAAGGGCCTCATTCCTAGCTGCATCTCTGTTCCACCACATCCACCATTACAGTTGCCCTATATATGAGGCCTGATGAAGGGGGAGGGATTTCTCCAAAACACACTGGTTCTACCTGTTACCTACTGCCAATGGGCTTCATTATTAGCCGCATCTCTGTTCCAGGTCTGTCCTCACCACATCCACCATTACAGTTTCTTTATATACGAGGCCTGATGAAGGGGGAGACATTTCCCCGAAACACATTGGTTTTCCTGTTATCTGCTGCCAATAGACTTCATTATTAGCCTCATCTCTGTTCCACCTCATCCACCATTACAGTTTCTCTATATGCTAGGCCTGATGAAGGGGGAGACATTTCCCCGAAACACATTGGTTCTACCTGTTGCCTGCTGCCAATGGGCTTCATTATTAGCCGCATCTCTGTTCCAGGTCTGTCCTCACCACATCCACCATTACAGTTTCTTTATATATGAGGCTTGATGAAGGGGGAGACATTCCCCCAAAACATGTTGGCTTTATCTGTTATCTGCTGCCAATAGACTTCATTATTAGCCTCATCTCTGTTCCACCTCATCCACCATTACAGTTTCTCTATATGCTAGGCCTGATGAAGGGGGAGACATTTCCCGAAACACACTGGTTCTACCTGTTACCTGCTGCCAATGGGCTTCATTATTAGCCGCATCTCTGTTCCAGGTCTGTCCTCACCACATCCACCATTACAGTTTCTTTATATATGAGGCTTGATGAAGGGGGAGACATTCCCCAAAACATGTTGGCTTTATCTGTTATCTGCTGCCAATAGACTTCATTATTAGCAGCATCTCTGTTCCATGTCTGTTCCACCACATCCACCATTACAGTTTCTCTATATGCTATGCCTGATGAAGGGGGAGACATTTCCCCAAAACACGTTGGTTCTACCTGTTACCTGCTGCCAATGGGCTTCATTATTAGCCGCATCTCTGTTCCACCACATCCACCATTACAGTTGCCCTATATACAAGGCCTGATGAAGGGGGAGACATTTCCCCAAAACACGTTGGCTCTACCTGTTACCTGCTGCCAATGGGCTTCATTATTAGCCGCATCTCTGTTCCACCACATCCACCATTACAGTTGCCCTATATACGAGGCCTGATGAAGGGGGAGACATTTCCCCAAAACACGTTGGTTCTACCTGTTACCTGCTGCCAATGGGCTTCGTTATTAGCCGCATCTCTGTTCCACCACATCCACCATTACAGTTGCCCTATATACGAGGCCTGATGAAGGGGGAGACATTTCCCCCGAAACACGTTTTCCAATTATTTAAATTCAATTATCATAAAAACATGAAAAACATAAACTCTGCGGTGCAGTTGCTGATAAGCAGAAATCACAAATAGAAGGGAAATGGGAGGGGGAAAGGCAAATAGGGAGCCCACCCTCCGATATATTCCGGAGTATAACCAATACAGGGTATATAAACGGAAAATCAAGACTGGCCGGATGGCCCTACAAAAAACGCAACATTACACCCCGAGTATGGGGCTCTATAGGTAAGGTCATAAAAAAGGAGAAATCGGTTAACAACGTCATTCGATGTGTCTAAAACGTAGAAGGTGAAGTAAGGGTGAGGAAAAAAAAGGGGAGAACAAGGGAAAGAGAGAAAAAAAAAGGGGGGGGGGGGGGGAGGTGAGACTTGGTCCTCCCGGTCCGGATCCTCGGCCACAAAGCACCCAGGTGACTAGGAGGCCTGAAGGTAGGCAATGCATGGGTTCCATACCTTCCCAAACCTGCTTTGTATGTCTCTGAGGATGCTGGTCAATTTTTCGCTAATCATGATCCCTGAGATTTTATGTTTGATTTGAGTAATATTGGGCACAGGTGACACTCGCAGAAGAGAGGAAAATGAGGGTTCGGGGTGTCTGGGGATCTCATCCGAGATGTCGGCATGTAGAGCCGTTTTGGCATTTTTAGGGATGTTCTGTCCTGTCACCGAGAAAACAAGACTGATTCTTCAGATCCAGAATCGCAGGATCTTCGGGGACGACCACCCAGACATGGTACATATCACCTACCTACCAGGGGCGGACTAACCATTTGGAAACTCGGGCACTGCCTGAGGGCCCGGGGTAAGTAGGGGGCCCCATGAGATGACCCTGGTACCTTTTTCATAGGATTTTTTGAGTTTGGGCAAGGACACAGGGGCCCCATGATCCCCTATTGCCCGGGGGCCCCATGATTTGTCAGTCTGCCCCTGCTACCTACCCTCATCCTCGGAAACACAAAGATGAGGCATTAGGGTAGGTCTTCACCAGCCTCGCTGAGAAGATGTTCCATCTAGATAGTACCTAATAGTCAGGAACGGACTGACAACTCATGGGGCCCCCAGGCAATAGGGGATCATGGGTCCCCTGTGTCCTCGCCCACACCCAAAAAAGCCTATGAAAAGGCCAATGAAAGGTACAAGGGCATCTCATGGGGCCCCCTACTGACCCTGGGCCCTCGGGCAGTGCCCGAATGGTCAGTCCGCCCCTGCTTATAGTTCTCCTCCACTAGAGGTAGGTGTTGAGTATTCCCCTGTGCACCATGGGTGACAACCGTGTCATAGTTACATAGTTAGTCTGGCTGAAAAAAGACAAAAGTCCATCCAGTTCAATCATTAAAAAAAAAAGTTATAATCCGACACCCCAACAGTTGATCCAGAGGAAGGCAAACAACCCAGCAAAACACGATCCAATTTCTCCTGCAGGAGAAAATTTCCTCCCTGATCCCCCGAGAGGCAATCGGATATTCCCTGGATCAGCTTTCCTTATAAATGTTATATACCAGTTATATTCTGTGTATCCAAGAAAGGATCCAGGACTTTCCTACAGCAATCCACTGAGCTGACCAAACCAACTCTGGAGGATGGGAGTCTATTCCACATTCTCACAGCTCTTAACTGTGAAGAAACCTTTCCGTGGGAGATCATATCCCTCTTATGTATTATACATGGAGATCATATCCCCCCCTTATGTATTATACATGGAGATTTCCCCCCAAGCGGCTATTTGTAGCATGGGATCCCCCCCACTTATGTATTATACATGGAGAAAACATATCCCCCCCTTATGTATTATATACATGGAGGAACATATCCCCCCTTATTAATGTATTTTTTTATTTTATTTTTTATATCCCCCTTATGTTTTTTACATGGAGATCATATTTTTATTATTATACATGGAGATCATATCCCCCCCCTTTGTTTTTATACATGGAGATCATTATCCCCCCTTATGTATTATACATGGAGATCAAATCCCCCCTTATGTATTATACATGGAGATCATATCCCCCCCTTATGTAATTATACATGGAGATCATATCCCCCCTTATGTGTATTATACATGGAGATCATATCCCCCCTTATGTATTATACATGGAGATCATATCCCCCCCCTTATGTATTATACATGGTGATCATATCCCCCCTTATGTATTATACATGGAGCTCATATCCCCCCCTTATGTATTACACATGGAGATCATATCGCCCCTTATGTTATTATACATGGAGATCATACCCCCCCCCCCCCCTTATGTACTTATACATGGAGATCATATCCCCCCCTTATGTATTATACATGGAGATCATATCCCCCCTTATTGTATTATACATGGAGATTCATATCCCCCTTATGTATTATACATGGAGATCATATTCCCATTATATTTTACATGGAGATATATCCCCCTTATGTATTATACATGGAGATCCATTTCATCCCCTTATGTATTATACATGGAAGATCATATCCCCCCTTATGTATTATACATGGAGATCATATCCCCCTTATGTATTTATACATGGAGATCATATCCCCCCTTATGTATTATACATGGAAATCATATCCCCCTTTTGTATTATACATGGAGATCATATCCCCCTTATGTATTATACATGGAGATTCATATCCCCCCTTTATGTATTATACATGGAGATCATTCCCCCCTTTTTTGTATTATACATGGAGATTATATCCCCCCCTTATGTATTATACCCACATGGAGATCATATCCCCCCCCCTTATGTATTATACATGGAGATCATATCCCCCCCCCTTATGTATTACACATGGAGATCATATCCCCCCTTATGTATTACACATGGAGATCATATCCCCCCTTATGTATGTATTACACATGGAGATCATATCCCCCCTTATGTATTACACATGGAGATCATATCCCCCCTTATGTATTATACATGGAGATCATATCCCCCCTTATGTATTATACATGGAGATCATATCCCCCTTATGTATTATACATGGAGATCAATCC